CTCCCTCGGCTAGCACTACTTGCCGCTGCCCAACTGCTCGAGATCCCAGGCCCAGCTAGCTGCACGCTGCTTCCAGGGACCCGCAAACCTCGCCGCTGGTCTGTGAGCTCCTGCGCTGGCCTCAAACACAGCTGCCAAGCCGCGCGTCCGCAGGATAAATGCCAGACGCTGCGAGCCTCCACTTGCACCGAACGCCAGCCCGAAGAGAAGCCTCTGCCCCGCATTCCACTATGCGAGCAGGCCTTCCTTGAAGGCACTCTGCGGACCTCCTCCTCAGCCGACGATCGCACGGGACTGCTGGGGAGAGACGCAGGGCCGTCCTTAACTTCCTCGGCCCTGCCCCCACCAGATGCCCATATATGGCGCATTTGGCGCCAAACCCCCAGCCTGCCTCATCCAGCAGGGAGGCAAAGGCGCTCCCCCAGCCCAATGGCTATGCCGTGGGCTGTTGAATCGAATTTCAAAGGAATCAACTTTCTTCCTCTCCGCTATCCTCATTGTCCAACTTTCACACCCATGCATAGTAATGAGGAATACTGTAGCATGATATAACTTGACCTTCGTTGCCAGCAACACATTCTTATATCAAATAAAATTTTCTAGCTCCTTCATGGCTGCCTTTCCCAGTTTCAATCTCCTTCTGATTTCTTGGGTGGAGTCTCCCTTTTGGTTGATGACGGAGCCAAGGAATATAAAATGTCAATTTCTTCATTGTCAACCTTAAGGTTGTATATTTCTCCAGTAGTCTTTAGTTGTGTCTTCTTATTGTTCAGCTGTAATCCTGTTTTAGCACTTTAATCTTCATCAGGAATCACTTCAGGTCTTCAGTGTTTTCTGCCTGTAAGCATGGCACAGACTTACCCAGAACCACCATTTTTGGATCAGAGGAGGATGAGGCAGGGAAGGTATACAGCAGTCTCATGCTGCCACGAGGTGTGGAAGTAGTGGGATCAACCATGGGGTGGGCTGGTTGGCTTCGTCAGTTGGAGACAGCCTCAGAGAGCTGGGTGGAGCAGCCCCGTCAGCTATTTAATCACACACCACAGCCAGATCACCCCAGTTCTGTGTCCTTTTATGTTTGCTTCTCATCTGTCTTTAGCAATTTTAAGAGTTTCATTGGTCCTCCCTCAAGGCTCTTCTTTTTTTTGGCTACAGTAATAGTCTTTGCACATTCTTCCTTGATAATATCCCTGGTTTGTATCCATAGGTTTAACATTCCAAACCCTGAAACTAATAGACATACTGATGTCACACAGAAAAACGGTACTAACAGTAGCATTTTTGCACTAGTAGAAAGTGTACTACATATTATCTGTGAATTTCCATATTCACAATTGTGACTTTGAAAAGTATGTGGGTATATGGATCTGAGAGTTCAGCTTGCCATCTCAAAGGACCCAAGAATGAACATAGTTGTTATTTGAAAAATTTCTGTACCTCCTCTCCAGAGAACCTCCTCATTCCTTACGATATAAAATTATAAAAACATATAAAGCAGAGTTGTCAGACTCATTTGTTACAAGGGCCCAGATCTGACATAAATGTCACTTTGTCGGGCTGGGCCATGTGTGCCATAAAATGTAACATGAGGTATCAGATGATTTTAGATGCCAAACGGCAATAACAGGCGTGATATGCAGAGGGTGTGATATGCAGAGGGATAGTAGGTGAGGGGATATCAACACTGGTAATGAGACAGGAAACGTAGGTCTCAGTTTGGTACAGGAGGGTTCAGTTCAGGAGGATACAAAGAATAAATGAAAATAAGTCTAAAGAAGTGAGCAGTGACTCACGAAAGCTCATACCCTACCAAACAGTTTGTTAGTCTTTAAAGTGCTACTGGACTCTTACCTTTTCTGCTGCTGTTAGAAACCACAACATTCAAAAACCAGTGGGGGAAGATTTTAACCTTCCAGGACATTCAGTGGCTGACCTAAGAATAGCAGTTCTCTTACAAAGGAATTTCAAAGGGAGATTATAAAGAGAGGCTGCTGAATTGCATCTGATAATGAAGCTCAAGACAATGCATCCTCCTGGGCTGAATGGAGACCTAGGTTTCTTCTCTCATTATCAATGCCTGGTATTGTCATTTTGCATCTGAAATAATTTCACTCTCCAAGATATAAGGACAGATAGACTCACATTCTAGATGTATCTGAAGAAGTGAGCAGTAACTCCTGAAAGCTCATGCCCTGCCACCATTTTTTAAGTCATTAAGGTGCTACTGGACTCCTGCTCCCTTTCACTAGTAAAGAATGCAAGCTGTGCTATTAGGTTTATAACTGGAATAAAATATTGTTGGTATTCTTAAAAGTGCCATGGGACACTCTCTCTCTCTCTCTCTCTCTCTCTCTCTCTCTCTCGCTCCCCCCTGACTTTTCCCCTCCCCCTCCCTACTCAGAGGAGGGGGAGGACCCCCCCGGCCAAATGAGGGATGGTAGGCTTGACTTTCTTTCTCTCTTCTGCAAAGCAAGGAATAGGAGAGACTAGGCAAAAGGAGCTGTGATGCAAAGAGGAAACAGGAACAGGAAGCAGCAGAGAGCCAGTTGCCTTCAGGCTGGATAGCAGCCCTGCAGGGGCCAGATCTAGCCCATAGGCCATATGTTTGACACCCCTGTTATAAAGCAGCATATATCATGTGTTAGTAAAACTCATCATTCAAAACACAGCAAGAGCATAAAATAATGCAAAAGATGGAGCATCTTAAAAAGAATGTTAAATATTTCTCAGGCTAAAAGACTATAAAATGATATTAATTAAAAGTTTCAGTGCCAAAGCCTGAGGCCTAGTAACCCTACCCTTAGTGGGTGACACAGTATTTTGAGTTCGCTAAGGCTTATATCTTAAAACAAACAAACAAAAATCTTAATGATCATTATCTTAGATTTTCTCTACTAATGCAAGTATTTGGCAGCCCTTTTACGAATAGCGGGAAGCCATCTCACAGGAGATATGAAAACACCAATTTTCTTGAAATCGGATCATTCTTTTTAGTGTTAAAGTCATGGCAAGATGGTCTTCTATTTACAAATGTAATTTAGTCTCATGAGAAAGTAATCTCGTTACAATATTGTCGGGTTAATTGAAATTGATTTGTGTTTACTAAACCTAGTAGTTGTTAATCAAATATCAGGCTTAGAAGCTTTGGAGGTACATTTGATAGATTCCTGTTAGTTTTACACTAAATGAATCAGTGAGTCAAATCTATGGAGAGATAAATGTGCTGTAGCTTCTTTAGAGCTTAGCGGGAGGGGGGTTGGGGGTGTCTTTCAAAATGGTTAAGACTAATATGTCAATAGTTTGCCGTCTGTGAGATGTTATGTTGTAGGATAGATGAGATAGTCATGAACTCCGGATTACGTCTGCATGCAGTATTTGTCAATAGCTCACATTTACTTTTCCAGTTGCTTAATTGCCTCTCAGATCTGCTACTCTGCTCTACTGATAACTAGCTTCACACCACAATAAATTAATTCTTTTAGCCTGAATGCATGTGATATAAGAAAAATAGCAATTATCATCTAGAATTAGTCCGAAATAACACGTGTGTCTTGGGTATGAGATATTCCTTCTTGTCTATGTAGTAAACTGAATAAATGCTTTCTTCCCTATCAACAACATTGTTGCATTCCCATTCTGTGTTAGTGTGTGTATGTGTGTGTGTATAATTCTGCTGGTCCACGATCATAATAAATTAATTGTGTGTATATATAATTCTGCAGCTGTAATGCGTACAATATAGAGCTGTGCCTAAGGATGGAAAGTCCTTCTGAGCTTTCTGTGTGCCCTTAGGCAACTCACTGTCATTCAACTTAACTTGGTTCATGGTATTGTGTAGAAAATTGTATAACCTTACATTCACTGTCCTTAGAGGAAGAATGGTATACAAATGAAATGAATTAATGCAAGGCATACATTTGTCATTATTACATGCCATCATTCCATTTGGAGGAAAACACCTGTGGAAAAATCTTGTATCAAACCCAAACCAAATATAATAATCACAGCAATTCCTGCTCTCATTTTTCATCCCTTTCACATGGTCCATTCTTTCTCAACTCCCCCCATAACTATTCCTGTTTTGTGGAACAGTCTGTCAGAGCCAGCCTGGAAGGCACTAACTCTGATAGCCTTCCAGAGAATCTTGCAAGACTGTTCTAATGAGCTTTCTCTGAAGGTTGCATCTCCGAAGTTAAGATTTTATCAGATGAGCAACAGTGGGTATTGGTTTGTGTTGTTTGAAACCCAATTGGTCTTCTCTTTTTGCATTATATTTTTAACTTGTATTTGCTGGTTGTATGATCATGGTTTGGACTGGCCAGAAAAGGTGGGCTGTAAATATTTTAATTAAAGGAGGAGGAGGAGGAGGAGGAGGAGGAGGAGGAGGAGATTGGATTTATACCCCGCCCTTCACTTGGAGTCTCAGAGCGGCTTACAAACTCCTCTCCCTTCCCCTCCCCACAACAGACACCCTGTGAGGTGGGTGGGGCTGAGAGAACTCTGACACAAACTGCTCTTTTTCAAGGACAGCTGTGCCAGAGCTTGTGACTGACCCAAGGTCACATCAGGAGGTGCAAGTGGAGGAGTGGGGAATCAAACCCGGTTCCCCCAGATTAGAGTCCGCGCACTTAACCACTACACCAAACTGGAACACATTTTAAGCAAGTGTTAGTATTTCAGGTTTCTCAGTTACTGTAGTGTAACAACCACAAAGACTCATGTGATACCATAAAGACCAGCAAATTTATTGAGCCACCGACCTATGCTACTTTACATAGATAATTTGGGTATCAGAATGTGGGATATGAAAAAAAGAATAAATATGTTAATCTATACTCACCACAAGAGTCTTGGTTGCTTTGACTCCAACAGATTGAATTGGCTGGAATTTGATGTGCATGTAACAAGAATTAAAACCCTCCCCCCCCCCAGATTGCTTCTTATGGCTTTGTTGTATATCATGCCAAACTGTAAAGACATATTTTATTTCTTTTTCACAGGAAACTCTTCTTTACAGACTATGGGACTGTGGCAAAAGTTGAGAGATGTGACATGGATGGGATGAACAGAACAAGGATAGTAGTGTCTCACATTGAGCAGCCAACTGCCCTTGCACTGGACCTAGTCAGTAAATATGTTTACTGGGTAGATATCTATCTGGACTTGGTAGGAGTTGTTGACTATCAAGGACATAACAGACATACAATAGCAGAAGGCCGACAGGTAAATGTTCTATTTATAACATTTCCTTGCATCTCCATGTCCATGTGAACATTCATAGCCTTAATTATTCTTAGTGACAGTGAATGTACTCACTGCATGCCTTTTTTATATTTTATAAACTGAAAGAGTTATAAATTGAAATATATTGAAATAAATATATTGCAATGAATTGAAAAATATTTTATAAATTGAAATATACAAGAGAACTGTATTGCAGCATGCAGAGGTCATTTTGGGGGGGATCGCGGGGGATTGCAGTTCCCCCGGGTGAGGTACGGGGGTGGGGCACATGACGAAGCCCTGCCCCCTGCTTCCGGCATCCCCGCTTCCGGCCCTCATTCAGCCAGGAAGAGGCAGGAGAAGAGGGAGGGTAAGTTGCTTCCTCCCTGCCTCTCCCCACCCCTGCCTGCCTGGGGCCAGGGAGGGCCTTCGCGGGGCTTCCTTGCACTCCCGCCGGCCTTGCAGGTCAACTGCCAGGCCCCTCATGGGGCTCGGCAGTGGAGCTGCAAGGCCGGCGGCGGCCAGGACTGTTGGGGGCGGGGTGTGTGGCCTTATGACACACTTCCGGTGATGTCAGGGGGTGTGGCATATGCTAATGAGTTATGCTAATGAGTCCCCCTAGCTCTTTTTCTACGAAACAACCCCTGGCAGCATGAGAAGTGAAGGGGCATAAGGTACAGCCCAAATGTGTGAACAAGCAGTTGGCTTTTTTCTCTTGGACCCCATGTGGCTTATCCGTTCAAATTCCAAATATCTAATGGTGTGAACTAATTTCCAAAGTGAGCATCCACTGAAGCTTTTGAGCAGTGCTCTCATGCAAATCTATACTTCTGACAGGCCTTCAATACTACTATACAAAAAAGCACTAGGAGAGGGTTTTTTGGGTTTTTTTACACAAAGGAACGCTTATATTTGCTTGATCACATTTGAAGCTGTGGCAGTGAGTGGCAGTGTTCAGTCAGGCTGCTCTGACTTCTAACTGTAGCAGAGCCTCAAATGAGATTTGAGGGTGTGTCTGAATGAAGTATGATTTTCAGCTTTTATGGTGGCATTCAAAGTCAGTTCACAATGAATTCAACGTTGGCTGACCAAAGATCAGAACTAGCATAGACATAAAACTAATGAAAGGTACTGTTTGAAATCGTTATTTTCCCGTTCGCAGCATAAGTGCAGAAACAGTCAAAACACCGAGTTAATATAGTTTATGAAATGAACAGAGATGGGGGGGGGTATTATCTAAGGTTAAATCCCAGACTGAAACAGCAGTAGGTATCAATCAAAGAACACCGTTTGGTTGTATGCCAAGAGTCTGTGCACACTCACCAGGGGTTTGGCTCCCCCCCCCCTTTCTTCCTATGCAGCAGCTCTGTTCATTGTGTTCGAACACTTCTCAGGTTCTGCTGGGTGATGATGCAGTAGCTTGAAAAGCTCCTTTTGGGAAGCTGGGATTGAGGTGGGGAATCATAATTTCTACTACATGTAGGAACCTGCAAGATAGTTATTCAGATTAATTAGAGGGACTTTTTCTATCCTTACCTATAGGATTGTATAGCTGTAGATGGGAGAGCAAATAAACAGTTATTTTGTACCTTTTTATCATAAGAATTATGATTCAGGTATAGAGCTGCGGTGGCTCAAGTGGCTAAGACGCTGAACTGCAGGCTGTGGAAGGTCAGTAGTTCAGCTGTTCGAGACCCAGGGGTGCCGCATGATGGAGTGAGCTCCCATCTCTAGTTCCAGCTCCTGCCAACCTAGTAGTTCGAAAGCAAGAAATTGCAAGTAGATAAATAAGTACCACTTCGGTGGGAAGGTAACAGCGTTCCGTGTGCCTTGGTGTTTAGTCATGCCGGCCACATGACCACAGAAACGTCTTCGGACAGCGCGGGCTCTTCGGCTTTGAAACGGAGATGAGCATCACAACCCTAGAGTCGGACTCGACTGGCTTTCGAGCAAGGGAACCTTTACTTTACCTTTATAGAAAAAAACAGTTTCATCTGAAATAACACAATACTTTGTATATACTAAATATGTCAAAATCACCATTAAAGCTGAACAGGTTATATGCATCCATGTTTTCAAGATACAGCTTTTAATATATATAATTAGAGGGATATCTGTTGGGATGAGCCAGTGGAGGTGATATTAGAGGTGATATCTGTTGGGATGAGCCAGTGGAGAAGTACAAGCAATTTATGCTTCTGATCCTCACTTATTCTTAGAAGGCAAATCTATATGATCAGAAATAATAAAATTACATAGTAGAGTCACTTTGTGTTTGTCCTATTTCAGTTATGCACCCTGGGCTAGTGTTAATATATTTGATGTGGTCACTCTTTTGAAATATCCTTGTTATGTAGAAAACTAGCACAATAGTGAAAGGTCTAACCTCAGACCATTCCCCTTGAAGTGCTCCATTTCTATATGTAGGACATTTGGGGGAGGGAGGCTATTCAGTCATATGACCATAGGAGCAGGATGACATCTCTACAAAGAACCAGATCACCAAAGAAATTGGCTTAATCTGTCATTGGATGCTGACTTTGGTACCTCTGGATTTTGCAGATCTCACTGCAGGTGTCAGGTGAGAGGGACACATTTCTTATTAGGCCATTGCATCAGATAGCTGGATCACTGTTCTGCATTGCCTCCTTCTAATGAACGTCTGGCACTGGCTAGGAGCAGTTTTCTTCCAACTGTTTAATATTGGTCACTGTTGGAGTGTTTACTTTGCATGAAAAAAGCACTGCCGTGTTTCATAGGTTCTACTTCCCCAAAGCTGTCTTCTACTGTACTAAGTTATTATTATTATTTTTTAAAAAAAATCGCATTGTAAAGTAATCCCATAGTGGATTGAGTCTTAATATGTTTTTTATAAATATGACTCCATTGTTTCTAAATATGACTACCATTATTCATTTCTGTGTGTAGCCTTGATTGTAGCAAATTGTGATTAAAAGCAGTAATTATGTCTTTTCTCCTTCTCAGGTTAGACATCTGTATGGGTTAACTATATTTGAAAACTATTTGTATGCAACCAATTTAGATAACTTCAGCATCATGAAAATAAACAGGTTCAATGGTACAGATACACAGCTCTTAACTAGGCTTCAAAATGCCAGAGAGGTCCATGTGTTCCACAAGAGAATCCAACCAACAGGTGAGTCCCCTGCTTCCTTTATTCAGTATCTAAGGATGTCATGGTAACCCATGACACCAGCCAACTGCTTTTAAATTTTAGCTGTCATGTTGAGACAATTTAGCTCTCCTAGGCATTTAGTGAAAACTAAGATTTTTATTGATTTCTTTGAAGGAATCTTTCATCTGTATAGTTCTTCAGGGTATTGTTCCATCTTTTCTTTATTTGTCCTGTTCAGTTACTGTATTTCTGTACTGATCTTTCAGCATGCCTAACTGTGCTTAAACTTTCCCATTGATTTCTTGGATATCATGGAACAGATCTCTTGTTCTTCCTTTTTTGTTGTTCTCTTCTATTTCTTTACACAGGTTATTATAATAGTTCTACTTGTCTCTACATACCAGTTGCTGGAATGCTGCATTTGAATTTATAATTCTATTTCCATCTACTTTAACTTTTGCTTCTTTTCTATCTTTGGCAGTGTTAAGAGTTTCAATTGTCATTTATTAAGGCTTTTCATTTCTTTTGGCTACAGGAAGAGTATTTGTACATTCTTCCTTGATAATATCTCTGGTTTGAGCCTATGGTTTTTCCGGTTCCTGTTTACTTGAACTTTAGTAATACACATCTGTTCTTTACATGGTCTTTAAACTCTTCAGGAATGTTTTTGGATTGTATTTTGTGAATATTTCAGTGTTTTTCTTCAGTTTATTCTAACTTTCAGTAGTAATAATTCATGGTCTGTACCACAATCAGCTACTGGTATTGTTTTACAGAGTGATTAGAACTTCTCCATCTTCTGCTTCCAATTATGTAATCAATTTGATTTCTATATTGGCCATCTGGTGATGTCCATGTATGCAATCATCTGTTTGGTTGCCTGCAACATGTGTTCCCAATTAATACATTGTTGTCGTCACAGAATTCTATGAGTTGCTTTCCTGCTTCACATCTGTAATTTTTGAAACACATTTTACAAAACAAAAAATCAAGTATTTATCCTATTTTCAGTGCAGACATTGCAGAATTACCTCCAAATCAGTTTGTGTCTAATTTTAATTCCCATCTAATCATGAAACAGAGAACCTACCTATACCTCTATCCCAGTCTTCTGGGATAGGTGACAAACCCATTGACATGAATATCCACAAGGATGGAATAAATTTTCTTTTATTGAATTATGACTGGCTTTAGTTTAAGGGTGGTTTTAGTTTAGTTTAGTTTAGTGGGAAGGATAGAATATAATGTCTTAATAAATAAAATAATTCTTCCAAATCATCTTATAGTAGGAATACAGTCACAGGAATACTGTCTTGTGTCATCGTCATCATCGTCATCATAATTTCTTTTAATATATAATATGCAAAAGCAGTGAACATAAGGATAAGTGTTACCTTCTGTAACATGCACACTGTGAGGAGTTGTTTTTTCAGTACCTTATAGCTGTGCGTGAAAATCAGTGTTGTGTTATCTCTGCAAGCTTATGGATTTTTAAATGTGCATTCCCCACCCTCACGGTATCATCTACTAGAATGTCTCTTGAGTTCTGACTTTTTGGCATTGTTTCTTCTCCTTTCCTGCCTTCAGCAGCCAGTTATTTGGTTTGGCAGCCAGAGATTTCAGAACACTATGATGTTATAACACACATTTTGCTAAATGTTATGAATGGTAAAGAAGAGCTGGCTGCACCTTTCTGTCACCTCACTGCCATAGCAGCTGGTATGGAGGGGGAAACCACTTGGAATGTTTCATTTCATTTCTCATGCTGTCTTATTGATACTCCCTTATCTATTTGTTTTATGTGCCTGACCTTTGTTGTGAGATTTTTGGAGGTGTGGGTGTGTGTCTGCACATTGTCTGCCCATGTCACCCACACTCCCCCCTCAGTTCGTGTGTGTCTCCTGAGTGTCGCCCCATACCAAAGGCAGATGTGCAAGCTTGGAAATCACTAAAATAAACTAATCTTTATTATAGCAAAACATTCAGAGTTCTAATTCCTAAACATTTGATATAATACACACAGAAAAATAAACATGCAAAGCAAAGTTTTTCCCACCCCATGCAAGCGCATCAAGAGATCTCCCTGGCTGTCTCCTTTGGAGTCAGCTGAAATCTGTGGGCTCTGACCAATATTTAAACCCAACATCAAAGAAGTCCCTTAACGATTGTATCACAGTTAACATCTAGAAGTGGAAATTGCTTATTACAAATTATTTCCTAGAAGTAGGGATTGTAAAATCCCTTCCTTATACCAAAAGTTCACACTGGGATGAGTTTGTGGTTCCCACCATTCGGGCCACAGGTTCTTTGAAGCGACCAGATTGCTACTTCAAAGGTATTCTCTAAGGTATGGGGTTTGTTTGAACTTCTGTTTTCCCATGGAATTTTCAATGTGGATTTGAAAGTCCCAGCTGCACAAATGGTCATGCATTTTATGGCCTGGGCAATTTGGGGGGATCTGTCACATCTCAAACTTGTTTGCCTGACCAGATGCTTATCGTGAGAGTCACACCTGGGCTGGGCATGGAATGTGTTACATCTTCAGTGAGAAAAGGTCAAGCCTGTTTGTTTGCAAGACAGATATACATATGTGGATTCTGTATCAACTATTTTGTTCATTTTAAACCCAAACACTTCCATCTTTCAATATTTCTTACCACAACCTTGAGTGCCTAGCTGTAACACAATCTCTGGGAAATGGGACCTTTACATTTTGGCGGGCCCTTTCTATTGCCCTGATTGGCTCTATGCCACCCAGTGACCCTCTTTGAACATTGTATATCCATTCACCCGCACCTTTTGCTTTAGTCTTATCACAGAACCTGAAGTAGAGATACTCTGCCAATACTGTATCAATAAACTTTCCTTCTGAAGAAGCGAGTTGTTGGTTCTGATTGTTGTAGTTGGTTCTGTTTCTGGCACCTTTACACTTTCTGTGTTATCTTCACATTTGCCATCTCAACTGGTTTATCCCTTAAAATGGCCCTCTGCTATTGCTTGCAGAAGCAAAATCCCAAGAACTATTGTCAATTATATGACATGAGAAATAGCACATTAAGAACAATGTGGACTTGTGGGTACATCATTTGTATGGAAGGACTATTTTTGTACTAGGCATTCTGAAGCACTGACTTACCTCAGCTTGTTGTATATTGGATGAGAGAACATCCACACACCCCATAGTTTAGATCACTGATCACAGAAGTGTCAGCACATAGAAAATACTTTAAAGAAGTGCAGTACTATAAACTGACCTCTTACCCCTTCCATTAGAAATTTGGAGTTTTGAGAGCTGATGCTACATTATTATGTTGTGTCTTCTGTTGTATTTTTTTGTAGTCATGGTCTATACTGCCATACTGTTTGCTACATTTGGCCCAGTTATTTTTACTGTAGAATGATGTCTGTTGCTTGTTAGGATTTTCTGTGCAGAATGTGGGTTAATATGGCTAGATACATTCTTATTCCTTTACTTTGTGAGCTGTTTTATGTATTGAAAAAAATTATAAAGATCCAGACCCTTTTCAAACTGCCTTTGCATTCTTTTTCAGTAACTGGTTGTTAATGGATTTTTTCTGTCATTTGGCTATTGCATAAATTAGTTTGCTCTGGAGCCATCCTTTCTGAGCTAAGACAAAAATGTGTGAGATGGAGGCTAAAGAACTGTGAGCTAGCTCACACTAACTCAAGCTTAGAGGGAATGCTGGGCACAACCCACAGGTCTCATGCCAGATCACCCAGAGGGGAAGGGATGGGGGGACATGTGGGGGGACAACAGGAGCTTTGGAACTTACTCCCCCAGGTCCAGAGCAGGGTGGCCCAGCAGGGGGAGGTTGACCTTCAGGAAAGCCAATTTGTCCACCTTGGAGGTGTCCAGATGGGAGCGGTGCGGGCTGATAATGCCTCTGAGGTGGGAGAATACCTGCTCACTCTGGATGCTGGTAGGAGGGCAGGAGAAGAGATTCATGGCCACACAAGAGAGGTCATCCCAGATGATGGCCTTGCGTGACCAGTATTTGAGGAGAATCAGCATTGGTGGGCTCAGGGAACTCAGTAAGGTACTCCCTCACCATCACCTCTGCTGAAACCTCCCCATTGGCATGTCTGGCTTTCCCACCACTGCTGCTGACCTCCCACTTCACCACTGACAACCAGTACTGGGGCTTCTGTCTGGTTAGAATCTTTGAGGCAGAGGTACTCGGCTGCAGCTCCTCCTCCTCCTCCTCCCTCTCCTCCTCAGCTTCTTCCATCCACTGTTCCCTCTGGCAATGACTGCTGGCCTGAAGCCTCTGCACTTCTTTGCAGACCTCATGCTTCCACTTCATGAGCTCTGCATTCCAGAGAGCAATGCTGCCTTTATTCCATGGGCCACAGATGCAGGCCAACTTGTAGACAGACAGACGTTTATTGGCATATCAGAGATAAAAGTACATTAAAATTTAGGAATACCTCAAAAATGTGACTGTCATACAAACAAACAAATGGCAAGGGAAAAAATCCAGTTTATAGTTTCTCTGATTTGAATTGCAGATTGAAGAAAACAGGCAACATTAAAAGTTATAGAAGAGTTTTGCCCCAAGAGTAGCAACTGGACTTTGACACTCTCAGGGAGTCCACGCCATGTAAAAAGAAGGGTGTCCAGAGATTTATCCCGGGTCTTAGTATAAAATGGACAATTTAAAAGAATGTGGGAAACGGATTCAATGGCACACTGACTACAAGGGCATTGTCTAAGTTCATAAGGGATATTTTGGCATCTTCCAGAGAAGATGGCCGATGGCAATATGTTAAATCTGGCTAACATAAATGCCCTTCTTTGATGAGGGCTGCCAACTCTGGGTTGGAAAATACCTGTAGCTTTGAGGGGTAGAACCTGGGCAGGGCAGGGTTGGGGTGGGGAGGAACCTCAGCAGGGTATAATGCCATAAAGTCCACTGCCCAAAGCAGCCTTTTTGTCCAAAAGAACTGATCTTGGAGATCTCCAAGTGCTGCCTGGAGGTTGGCAATACTAAGGGGAGGGCCAGGTTTGTTGAAAGACTTCAGTTAGGTATAATGTTTTAGCGCTCACCCTCCAAACCAACCATTTTCTCCATGGGGACTGATCTCTGTAGTCTGGAGATCAGTTGTAATTCAGAGAGATGTCCAAGCCTTCCAATTCCAAAGCTGCTTCCTTTCAATTCCGAAACTGCTTCCTGTTTAACACTTTAACTGATTAACAGTTTAACTGACTCCCTCCTAATGCCCCATGGTCTCCTGGGACTTTCAACTTGGGAGCTGTAGTTCTAATTCCCTTTGTTATGATTGCAGTAAGGCCAGCTGAGAACTACAACTCCCAAGGTGCAAGGCATCAAAAGTGGGAGTGTAAGAATGGGAGAGTTTCCAATGGGAGAGTAGGTGAGTCATCGCCAGCACAGCTTGCCA